TTTAAATCAGATAGACAACTTTATGAACAAGTATAAAATAAAAACTTTTGAAAAATTTTATTTTAATCTTCATATTTTAGGTTTATCGACCTTCACCAATGGAACCGGTTATTGTTGATGAATTTGAAGATGAAATGATTTTTCCAACAGGTTATGAAGAAGATTATGAATATCGTGAAGATATTATGAAACCTAATCAAGCTGTTGATCCTCGACGACAACCTAAACAACAACTGACAAATCATGATCGATCTGATGGAACAATTATTCTACCTTCAATACCGTCACAAACTTCTGTAACTGTCAATGGCAATCATACATCCCATCAAAAATTAATATTAACACCAAATACAAAACAATCTCATCCAATAGTTAATTCATTAAGTTTTGATTCGAACTATAAATTTGATAGATCTGAATCTCAATATGCAGGTCTAGTTGAATCACAACTCTAGTAAATAAGAATGTATGTGCGTTGAACAGTGTTTCTTATTCATCTTCATATTATTGTATGAACTTATGTTCAATTATGCGTTCGTTTTTTTTTTGATAAATATTCATTTCTTCAATTTCCTTTTTCCTTATGCCTAGAGCAGATAAAAACATCATTTTTGTTTTTATCAATATGTATCGATCAGGAATATTTTGTCAGATGTGTATTAAGTCATCGGCTACTTTTGTCTTCTATATTTTTTTTGCGCGCATAATCTCTTTGTTTAATTCTTTGACTAATGGTCTGATGCATGTAGGTTTTTTTCTTGTTGTTGTTGTTGTTACTATTATTATTCCATTCGATTCCTTTTTTCTTTGTTTGTGTCAAACAAATAATCAACACTAATATCATATGAGTTAATTAATTAGAAAGCTTTAAAGAAAATATCAATTATTTTGATATTGTAAAGAATCTTATGAGTTTATTTAATAGTTGAACTTGATTTTATTACTTTTTTTCCAACGATGTCAACCTTATTTTCTATGATTAACTTTTATACTGGAAAGAAAGACAAATCTTTCTATTAGTGAAATGATCTGAAAATGTGTTTGGTGTACTGTTCAGATAAATTAGAATTTCTTCTTCGTAGTTATGATATTTTGCATTGTTCCTTCAGCAATATTTTGATATTTTTATAACGGGAAAAATAGAAATTGAAGAATTTGAATTTATATGTTGGAATTTATTCAAATGATAAATAACTATGTAATGATAATCATGTAGAAATTTTCTTGAAAAATTATTTACATTTGTTTTTCTTGTTATTAGTTTTAGAAAGAAAATGGAAACTGCTCCGCCAGTCTATTCTAATGTTGAACTTATTTGTCAAGGTGCTGAAGCACGTCTTTTTCGATGCCTATATTTCGGTCGTCGTGCTATACTTAAAGAACGTTTTGTTAAAACTTATCGTCATCCTGATCTTGATAATGCAATAACTCTTCAACGTCTTAAAGGTGAACTACGTTTATTAACACGTGCTAAACAATTAGGTATTCATACACCATCCATCTATCATGTGGATTGGGCAAGACGTGCAATTGTTATGGAAGATTTACACGAAGCTCGTACGGTAAAATCTGTTATTGATACATTGATTCAAGGACAAAATACTGTTAAACTTGAACAATTAGCACAACAAATTGGTACAACAATAGGTCGTCTACATCAAGCACAAATTATACATGGTGATCTTACAACATCAAATATGCTTTTAACAGAAAATGATCAACTCTATTTAATTGATTTTGGTTTAAGTGCTTATATACCAAATAAAACTCAAATGCTTGAAGCACTTGCTGTTGATTTGTACGTTTTAGAACGTGCTATTATATGTACACATCAAAAAGCAAAACATTTCTTTTCAAATATTCTTATGGCATATAAAAGTTCAATTAGTGATGAAAAACAGCGTACATTAACAATCAATAAATATGAAGAAGTACGTGCAAGAGGACGAAAACGTAGTATGGTCGGTTAATCATTTCTGTCACGATCTAAAGTTATAAATAAAAGAAAATAAAACTTGTTTTTTTTTCTTTGTTTTTCGATTGATTTAAAAATAAACATACCAATAATAAAATATAGACACATGGCAATAAGGCCAAGAAGAAGAACAATACCAAAAACAATCAAAATCCATGCCCAACATGGACAATCAGCATTCAATCCTAAAGCACGAACAAGATTGAATGAACCTGAAGATGGTGCGTTTGCTGTTGTTGTATAGACAGTTGAAACTGGTTCAGGTGAAACCTGTAATATGATTGATAAAAAATTTTATATTAGTATATCGACATACCGTGTATGCATCTCGATGTGTCGTTAATGGTGGTGGTTTACGATCAGGCAAAAAGATTGTTTCTTTGATAATTGGTCGATTGACAACCTTTGAAAATAAATTAATAATAAATATTGAAAAATTTAATAGATACCTCAACAGGTTTTTCAAATGGTACATCACGCTTGTAATAGATGGATTCATCTAAAACTTCTGTTTTACCTGGTTTGCGAACCTAAATAGATTTAAACGGAGAATTTTGTTCTTACATTAGATATAACGAAAATGAATGATTCCTACAGAATAGTTTAGATTTGGATCTCGTGAGAAACCACTAGCAATAGGCATGTTTTCTTATGTAACTTAATTCGTCTATTTGCTGTTGTGAGACACAGAAAATGAGATGTTAACTTTTTTTTCTTCTTTTTTTTTAATCAATCATTTCTTCATTTTGTCTTTTACATATGATGAAATATGAGAAGTAACCAACAACCATCGGATCAGCAAAGTGAGTATCTATGTACATCTCGAATGTCTTCGACATACTTGATAATAGAAGAAATAAAAGTGGATATTTGTTTTTTATTCAAGTTCAAAGATGATTGACAATAATATGTGGCAACAAATCGAAATTGAATAACACAAGGACAAGAAAATAAAATACATTCGTAAATTAATTTTCGAACAATAATTTAGATCTTTCAATAAAATTGAAACTAATCGTCAAGTTGACAACAATGAGAATCAATACGATAATTATTTTGTCGATAGGAGTAAAGATCGATAAGATCAGCTTGATGAAGATTCGTTTATAGATTGATTTTGAATTGCATAAATTGTAAATATATAATGCTTGAATCGATAAATTTTCGGATTAATCAAATCAGAAAATATAGATGAAAAGTGAAAAAAATTCATAAAGAATATCAAATACGATGATATTAGTACATATGTACTACACAGACAGAAGAGAATTCATTTTGAAATTGAATCTTTTATTTTACACACTACAAAATTTCTCTTTGTCAAATTAAAAATTACAAGGATGGATTACATATTATCTTAGAAATATAATAGACTTACAAAACCAACGTTTTAATCGTAGATAAAATAAAAACATTTTTCTTAATACACTTCTACATAAAGTTCCATTTAAAACGGATTTGCGGATAAAGCAGCTAACTACAAGTGCTTTCTTCATTCTAAACCAATAAGACAGTACTAAAGATTGAAGTCAATAAAAAAAAAAGGCTTTTCATTTTAGACCAAAGAATCTTGTCTTCTCATCATAAATGTTTCTGGATGATAGAATCATGGTTCCATTCTTCATCCTTCTGATACTCAATCTCAAGGTTATTTTCCAACAACAATGTTAGTATTACAGACGAATTATTTTAAGAAATATTGGCTGTTATATTATATAACATTTTGGAACAGAAACTAATTCATGATGTGTGAGATTGAATAGACTCACCAATTGAAGTGCAGAAGTTCAAGTGAATAGAACGAAATAAAAGATTTTGTATACTCTACTTATTACTGATTCAGATTTTGAAATTCAATGTCGTATTTGCTTCTTTCGGAGGCGTTTAGAATACTTACCATAAGTAAATTATCTGCAGCGTCTGATGAATGTTTTATCCTTTTCTCTTTTGGGTTACATACTAATGTGCGAAACACTAAAAAGGACATATCATGCATCTAGAAAACCTTTTCCAAGGTTTCGTACTCATATACGAGAATTTTAAAAGAGTTTTGAATTTGCTGCGACTTTTGAGAATCTTTTTGGGCTCTGAGTTACGCACAAAACCTTTTCCAGGTTTCGTACCGCGTACGACACCCTTTTCAAGTTCTGTATGGCAACATTTCTTTTTAGTGAACCCACGCCTTTACGTTCTGATTATATACAATAGCATAGTTTATGTTACAAATAAGAGTAAATAGTCAAATAATTCACCCATTAGTTTGTAGTGTTATTATGAAAAACATAGCATCTGACAGCGAGTGTCTTCTCTTCACTCAGCCTTATATCGACACATAGATGGTGGAAAAAAAGCGCAGCCTTTGCCACCAAACTCAGTCGACAAACGTTCTTTCATATTTAGCAGAGATTATTGTACAACTATAATTGATAATCTGAAGCTTACATGACCGATAAATCATATAAATAATGTATGATATGATGGTGAAGATTTCTCTGTATATTCATCGTGGTCCTGTCGACATAGGCTTATTTGTTTTCTATCTTGTATACGAAGATCAGACTAGTAACTCTCATAATCTTTTCGAAACTGATACTCTTAAAGCTTATATGTTACTTTGTTGTACGTTTCATCTTGTCGAAAGTGAAGGATAGATTGTTGCTCGTTTATATTGACTTATTGGAAAAAATCTTCTCAAAGAGAAAACTAAAGATGGCAAATACGACCTTAAAAGTACTATGGATAAAATTGTGTTTAAATTTGTAAATTCAATACTAACATATCACTTTAAGCTCAAATGTACGTTTAGTGTTTGTCTGAAACCAATACATGAACATATGAGCATAAATATCGTACTAACATAACTTTGTTTAAAATTGAATCTGGTTTTTTTTGATAAGGGGCTAGAACTTCTAACATAAAATAGAACGACTTTCATTAGTTGGCTCTATGTAACAACAGAGTTTAATCATTTAGCAGCTTCCTTCATTTCAATCAATCGCTTTTCCTTCCATACATTCGGAATCTCCTAGATAGAGAGAGACGCAGAGAATTTCATATACACATACTTATGTACATAAGAAGAAGATAGCGGTATAAAAGTGGGAAGTATATGATTAATTAATGAAGAATGCAGAAAATAAAGCATAGCAGATGAGAGAGATTAAAATGGACAGATATGTTACTCTATTATGTAATTGTTTCATTGTGTCACAGATGATTTACTACCGATAATGTTTTTCCATATCAAAAATATACTTTTCATTTGATCGATCAGTTTATTTATTGATTATTTGATATTAGATATATAGGAAAGTCAATAAAAAGTATTTGAACATCGTACCAACGTTTGTCACTGTTCGTAAGCCTCCATGTAGTGTGAATGAATCTTGGTTCTAATGAATCTTTGAATTATTCAACGAACTACATGGTTGACAAACGATCTTCGATCATCGAACCAAAAGCCAATATTACTCGCTTAGAGTAGAGGTCATCACAGTGAGCCATGATCGATCTATCGATGGTCCATTTTGACAAAATGCAATATTAAACAAAACAAAAACCACGTGGTCATTATTCAAATGAGAATATCTATTCATTATACGTATGATACGTCATATTTGCGGTTCTCGTTGATTAAAGCTGTTCTCTCATTTTGGAGTATATACGTATTTATATTTTACTCCTTCTGTACAAGTGTTGTCTCTGCACAACAATCAAATGAGCTTGGTCGAGGTACAACAGTGAGATGTTTATACCAGTTGTATTAGAGTCGTTCTTGAATGATGAATTACTTATATCTCTGCCTAGCTACGTCATTAGCAGGTATTAATACATTCATGATTCGTAACGATGACTTCATGCATTCACAAGCAATTCTATGTCGTTGATATTGAACGAAACGTGTTGAAACACTTCAGATAATCAAGAACAACGATATTAAATGCACTTAGGCTGATTCGAGCATATATCACATCGAACAACATAAATACTTTGCATTTTTTCGACATCGCAATGATTATCAAGATTAAAGTTAGTTAGAATATTTATTTGAAGTCATATAGAAAGAGTAAGATGATAAATAATGCATTTTAGTATTGAATAATGATCAGAAAAAAAAGTACAACTACAAAATTGATTTATATTGAAAAAATGCTTGATGGGTAAATGTGTTAGTTGCTTGTATTAATGAACATAACAATGCTGAATTGTTGTCTACTATAAAAGAAAAAAAAAGCTGAATGATTTCAAAATAAAGCATTTAACCTATGTCAAGAAAGTCTTGGTGCAAAATGTTCGTCCATTTTTCGATAACTAAGTAATGACTCCAGAGAGCAAAAAACAGTCAGTTAGAATCAGAATTTGATGCTCTTTCCGAATACGTGTCTAACATGTCCTCTCGATGAAAGGTTAGTGAACTATGGAATCATTTTTCTGAAGAGTTCAAAATGACGTTTGGACACAGGAAAATAAGGATTTTCCTCAATACTTAACTTGCTTGATTTGGGTTTTAGAACAGTTTTAGGCCAACTATCTTGTAGAGCGTTCAATTCTTTACAATATTCTCTTTCCGGAAGCTAATTTCCATATAAAGCAGTATTTGTCAAAAACTCGAGTTTTTGAAAAACTGCCTGTTTGAAAAATAATATGTCGTCGATCTTTAATGCAATGAAATAGATAACCAATTAGCGCATTTTGTAGAGAATTGAACGCTCTACAAAGCTGAATAGTTAGGAAGTGTTTCTCATATTATATTAAATAGGTTTGAGTTAGAATACTAAATGAGAAGAAATAAAATTCTGTTCAAACGTCATTTTGAGCTCTTCAGAAAAATGATCCCATAGTTCACTAAGCTTTCATCGAAAGAAAATATTGGATACATATTCGAAAAAAGCATTACGTTCTGATTCTAACCGACTGTTTTTTGCTCTCTAAAGTCATTACTAAGTGACCGAAAAATGGACGAACATTTTGTACCAAGACTTTCTTGACGTAGGTTATACGATTCTCTACGAATGAGTAGTTGTTATCTAGTGAATGATAACAACTTGACTTACCTAGTTTATCCACTAGTCTGTTCATATATATGGTTCTATTTCTGATAAAGCGGTATTTAATTTTGAATACGACTCAACACCATAACAAGATCGAACGCATTCGGCAAACTCTCCATTCAATGAAGTGGCGCCTATAAATGAGCAGCCGAGGATTCACAAGATGGTCACCAATCACGAAACAAACGAATAGTTCATAACAAGTTTCTGTACGATTATTGTTATCTGAATTCGTTAAAGATGATCGCTGATGATATAAGTTACAATCAGATAATGGATACGTAACTTTTAGGAATGAATTCATATATTTTTCAAGCTGTGCTCAATTTTACATGTTGTTGATGTGGTTGAAATCCATACCAGAAAGGAACAGTTCAAAATAAGAAGCATCTGTTCGAGTTTCTTTATTATAGAAAACTCAATATCAGAAGTATGTAGCAGAGACAACAGACACATAGCTATTGGATAGCTGAAATCATACTACCGTTCTAATATTTACTGTTTTATGAACCATTAGGTTTATATTGACAATACAGGCGTTGATTGAATATTCTGTGGAGACACTATAGAACGGGTGTTTTCGGATTTAAGA